AAAGGATTAAACTTTTCACTGCTCACACTTATCTCTGTTCCTCCTGGACTTTTCAGGGTTACCTTTTTCAATCTGCAATTAATATCTCCATAGTAACGGAACAACCAATCCATCCCCAGAATCACTTCAAACTCGTAAAAGGGTAATTCCATCAGATTAGCAGGGAATTCAATTCCCTGAACCTTTATGGGACACCCCTTACAGACTTTATTCACCCGAGCACTATGGCCTAAAGGATTTGTTACTATAATCTCATTACTCGTAGCTTCTAAGGGAATCCTCAATTCCTTTACTAACTTACTTGTAATGTAAGAATAATTAGAACCCGGATCAATCAGTACCAATACTAATTTATCGTACAGTTGAAAAGTACCTGCTATAATATCAGGGTCTTCACTTGTCTTTAGATTGTACACCCGTGCGGTTGACCGAACTTCAGGTTGAGCAGAGAATTCAGACTGGTTCCTTCCTCTTCCTCTTCCTCGTCCTCTTTGTGAGGAAGAACCAACTCTTTCAGATGGTGCAGGCTCACCAACCATCAATGGACAATCTCGGATAAAATGTTCGACATCTCCGCATCGAAAACAAGTCCCAGCAGCCATCCGACAAGCCCCAGAATGGTTTTTCCCACAGTGCTGACACTGTCTCGCTTGACTCGGAGTAGATCTCCCAACACCAGATCCCACTGATTGTGTCTGTCTAGGTCTTGCCTGACTCGTTCCCCTAGCAGACGATGCAACTGATTCTGATCTAGCTTGTGATCAAAATTCTGAGTCTCTTCCCCTTTTTGATGGTGCTAAGCTAGAAGAAGCACCCGTTCTCTTTGATGTCTGAACTCTAAAATCCCCAAATCTCTCATTCTGAGCTCTTTCAAGAGCCTTGGCACGATTGATCACCTCTTGGAACGAGGACAAATTCAATACTATCAGCATCTCTTTCAATCTAGGGCGTAAACCCTCCACAAACCATTTACAAGCCTCTTTTTCAGTAGGCACCAGCTCGGATGCAAACCTACTCAACTTTTTTTAAACTCACATTCATACTCATATACAGAGCGGTTCATTTGTTTCAAATTCAAAAACTCCTACTTCATCTGTCGAATAAATTGATCTCCAATGTATTTGTTTTTAAATTCATCTAAGAATAAAGACTAAGTCAACTGGTCACTAGGCATCCTCATGGTGACGTTCGTCCACCATATTCTTGCATGACCCTTCAGCAACGAGACAACTCCATTTAACTTCTCCACTTCAGAATAGTGGAGACCATCCTACATGATTTTTAAATCATTTTAACCAAAGATCCGCCGCATCCGGACCTTCTTCGGCTTCTCCCTTAAATTTGGGATCTCCTAAACCTCTCAACTCTTTTGCTACATTCATCCTTTGAGTTGGTGGAGCAGGAGGTTGAAGACGTGTCAGAATAGCATCTAACGTTCTGAAGAACGTATCCTGATCTTGTACAGGAACTCATTGAGATGCATGTTCTTCACCTTGCCTGGCCAGGGCAGGTGAATTACTGCTTTCAGCAGGCCTATCTTCTCCCGCTTCACTTCGGGAGCTATTATCTCCGGACATCTATTAAGAATAAACACATTGTTCTATTAGCAAAACAACATACTCATACTATACCAGATCAGAAGTTCTCACTATTTGTTAGCATGTATTCTATTTAAAGACTCTATAGACTCTGGTTTATGCCTAGAATCGGCTAAACCATAGCTCTGATACCATTAAATGTAATACCCTCAACTCATATCTGACCCGGATACGAGTCTAGGATGTCACATTGACTAAACAAAACAATACTTAAAAAAAACCCGATAAAACATTTTGTAAACACCAATTTTCAACACCAACACCTACCACCCCATTTTTCAACACCAACACCCATCATCCCATTTTTTTCAACACCAACCCCATCACCCCTTGTTCCCTGCGAAAATCAAGGCATAATCAACTGAAAAATCATTGTAAAATTGGCTATAAAAGCCAAATGCATGTAATCAAAAAATGGAGGATTTTTTCTCCGATTTTTCCAGAGAAATACAAGCATTTAAGGGTAAATTTTTTATTTTCGTATTCAAATACTATTTTTTTTACTCTATGCTATTACGAGAAAATACTAAAATAATTTAGAATCAGAGAGAAAAGAAATAAAAATCAGATTATTCCAAGGTATTTTGAATATTTTTTTTAGTTTTGAATCTAATATTTTTTTTTGAAGCTTTGTATGTAAAATAAGAAGGAAAAAGAGTGAGTAGATTATTACCTTAGATCGGGATAGTTCGCAGTGGTGGCCATGGTGGTTCATGGCCAACGATCGTTTATTCCACGAAATAAAAAATGAAATAGTAAAAGAGGAAGAAAGTTGAGAGAAATAATAAAGAGAATAGGAGAGGAAATGAAAAACCATGCGCAGAAATGATTCTGGGGAGAGAAAAAAGTAAAGTTATTTTGGGTTTTGGGCTAATCACATGTCAAGTCATCCATTTTTAATATGTTTCATGTTTTAGTTTAAGTGTTAGGGTAAATAGCATACTAGGTCATCATAGTTTCAGCGTGTTTTGCATTTAGATCACTAGTTTTAGGTTAAATCACTTTATTGGTCCTTTAGGTTTAATGTGATATGCGTCTTTAGTCATTTTTAGGGTTAATCATGCCTTAGGTCCCTTCAAGTTTAGCGTTTTTTGTGTTTTGGTCACCATTTTCTTTTACTTTACATGATTTGCGAATTGGCTACTTTGTTTTGTATTATTTTAATTTAGTCCACTATTGTATGTATTATTTGTGTTCGAAATGGGTTACTGATGTTTATGCTATTCTATTTTAGTCCTATATTTTATTTTATTACGATTCTAGTGCTCATGTTATGTGATTTCTTTTCATGCCATGATATTTATTTTTATTAATGTTTATAATTTTAAAATTATTTTTCACTCATTTTTGTCACTAAGATATTAATGAATATATATGTATATGTTTATTTGTACCATTAAAGTATGTTTTATGTTTTAGGTATTTATTACTTATATTATTATATATTATTATATACATAATATTATATGTAGAGCACGATATATATTTTATATTCGTTATATTTTAGAATAAATATTATGTCATACGTTTAATATCATATTTAGAAAATATGTATATATTTATAAAGTAAAACAAAGTTAAAATTAACCTTAATGTGTGTATTTATTTTTTAAATATATCAATGTATCATATTTTATTTTGTTTGAAAATAACCTTAGACTTTTAAATCTTTTAGGTCCGTTATTTTAATTCTTTGACATGTTTATTCCCCAAACTATGTTTACACATTTAATATTGACATAATTAAATATGTTAAATAGAGCCTCCATTTTAGGTTAGATTTTAAACTAGTCTTTAATTTAGGGGATAATTTGAGTTGGCCCTCGCGTAAACGCTCGAGGGACCATCTCGGTTATTTGATTTAATATTTTTTTTAAATCAAATAGGATTAATATTAGAACCTACATTTTTAGGTTTAAGCCCCTAGGTTCCTTAATTATCATAATTTGATACCTTAAGTTAGAAAAGGCCTTAATTTATCTTAGATTAATTAGGATTGAATAAGATTTTGTCCGAGTGCATTTTATTTTAAACTTTAAGGCACTGTTCACTTATTAAGGAGTTAATAGTATATCCTCCGCGATCGTGCTCAGGGGGTGACTACTGGTAATTCTCTTAATAAGTCAACATCCTTTTCAAAACTACATCATGTTTTCTAAAAATAAGGCAATATTCGGTTATTAGGCACAATAGCTGATCTCCTGTGTTTACGCTCGAGGGAGAATGCTATCGGTCTCAATAAACGAATACCCTTTTCAAACTTTGCATCCTTAATGATTTTTAAATTAAATAAAGATCGAACTCAAAGTTTCCGATTTTAAATATAGGGTAATCAACTAGGTACCAATTTTCGGGCGCTTGTGGGGGTGCTAATCCTTCCCCACGCGTAACTGACTCCCGAACCTGATTTCTGGATTTTTGCAAACCCCAAAACTCGATATTTTATTAAAATAAAATATTTTATTAAAATCACCCAGTTTTTACGGTATTCCAATCTCACCTTAAATGATTGGTGGCGACTCCTCACATTTTGAAACGATTTTCAAAAAGAAAACCCCGAGTCGGTATCGGTCTTTCCCCGCCCAGGCGAAAAAAGGTGTCGACAGCTTGGCGACTCCACTGGGGATTTTTTTTAAACAAGTTGATAGTCGAGCCACGAGTTGGTTACCCTATATTTATGATTTTGGAAATTACTAGTTCGATCTTATTTAATTTATGGTTCATTATATTATTTCAAAAAGAAAAAACAGATTTCTCTCCGGTTAATGCTTACACTTCTATGAAATATTTAAGATTGTTGCATATCAAAGCTCTAAACCCGAGCTCAAACCAAATTTACCTAAGTAGAGAGAAACGACACACCTCATGAGGAGCATTAGGCTTCCTTGTATGGGTCTGACAAAGTATCTCTGGAAAGCACCCTAAGTTGCCTATCCGGATATTAGTTCCGAGGTACGCTTTTAGTGGTGTAATCCCCTGAGCTGAACCCGATTTACAAGTCTGTAATGGGCTAGAATCGGGGTCAATCTTAGTAGGTTGTAAAAATAGCTTGGGAACCTTCGCTAGAACCCAGCCTCATATAGAGAATTTAGTAAGTCTACCCCGCTAAAGCCATGTGGATAGCCTAGGAGAACTAGAACGTATGCGGTTAGGATTATTAATTTTCTTTGTATGCTTTATTTTATTCTCAACTTTAAGTCATATTTAATATTATTATTTTTTTACTAATCATTTCAACTAACTTGATTCGTGTTGTCTTGTTTCTACTAACATTGATTTTCTTTTGTATACTCTTATTGCATTTTTGCATGTATCATTATCATATCATATCATCTCATAAATGGTATTGATTCCCAGATCACCTAGTTATTATAAAAGAGCTTAAGGCAACAATGTATTCCGATGGGACTGAGAATGCAATCAGTGTTCAGACCTGGTCCGAGTATGGGCAAATCACGGTTCGGGGATAGCCTTGTCACTACTGAAGAGTCAGTTTTGCCAGAGAAGGCAATTATCAGAGTCAGGCAAGCACATTGGGATGAATTATCAAGAATTTGGGCCACCTGGGATGATAATGAGAAGACAATGTTCAGGGAAATATACGGAGACATCGCAGAGATGCTGAGAGTACCAATAGATTCAGTGTTGGTTCGGGCCCTGGTCGAATGTTGGAATCCAGCTTACAGGTGTTTCACTTTCGGTAAAGTGGACATGACCCCTACCTTGGAGGAATATACGGCTTTGCTGAACATCCCGAATGTTAGAAAGTATTCCATTTACACTAAGGCAATCCGACCTAAGGGGTTCATTACCAAGATGGTCACGCTGACGGGAAAGACCAAGGAATGGGTCGAAGAGTACATTCGTGATGAAAGGATCTCCTGGGCTCAGCTGAAGAGTTTGATTTATGAGCAGACTCCATCAAAAAGAAGAAGAGATCACTTCGCGCTTGTAGTAAAATGGCCTGGTAATTTTCCCCAAGATTGAGGATCACTTTGACATTGCCTTAATCGATTTCGTCGAAGCTATTTCCAGAAAGAATCCCGCACCAGCCATCATTGCGGAAACATTCCTATCACTGAATCAATGTAGACGATTGGGAGGAGGTCAGTTCATTGGATGTACTTCACTATTACTAGTTTGGTGGTGGAGCCACTCCTGGATAGTTGAGAAGGGCTGGGCTCGGAGACATCAATCAAATTTTTCACCTCTGGTGGATTTCCTCGACAAATGTCAAATCCCGGAGCATCGCAAGAGAAAAGATTGGGTTGAAGCTCTTCGTAACGTGAAGGATACTGAGATTGTGTGGAAGGCTTACTGGTTACCCAAAGAGGATGTACTTTTCAGATGTGGTAACGATAGCTTTGTGATGCTGCATGGATTATGGGGAGCAATCGGGTATACTCTGCTGATTGTACTCAGACAGTTCAGTACCCGACAGTTCGTACCAGCTACCCACGGCTTAAAGGAGGCAGAATTTTCTTTCTCTACTCCAGGTTATCGAGAGCGGATTTCAAAAATCTATACAGCGTGGCAAAAACCCCACTACATGAACTTCAAAATGATAGAGCCTGGATTCACACCAACCTATGAGGTTTGGAGGTCGCAAAGAATTAATAACAATACACCGAAGCCAAATTTAGAAGACGAGTTGACTATGGAGGAGCGATTGAGGAGGCTCCCGACAGAGGCTGAATTGTTAAAAGATGATATACGACTAATGAATCTGGATAGAGAAAAAGAACAGAGAAACTTCTCAGATGAGAAGACAATGTGGGAGCTCGAGCTGATTAAGAAGGATGGAGTGATAAAACAATTTGCAAAAGATAAAGAGAAGGTTCAGAAGAGTCTTGATGCGCTAAATCAAGATTTTCGGGCCTTAGAGAAGAATATGAGAGCCTAGGGTCTACATCATACTGTTAAGACCCTAAAAATAAAACTTGATAGGGTAGAAAGAAGCGCAAGAAGAGGTCAAGAAGAAAAGAAGCGAGCCCTGCAGCACGCTCAAAGACTAAGAGAGTAAAGAGATGAGGCCAACCAAGAATTGACACAGAGGCGGGCACAGATTGAACAGCTCGAAGCACAATTACTTAGTATGGATAAGACTTTTCAGAACCCATACAACAGCGATGTATTCCGTCTTCAAAAAGAAAATGTGATGTTAAAGAAAAGGATGACAGAGTTAGAAGAAGCAAGGTTGATTCACTCATCCTCACAGGATATAGCCAGACAGGAGAATGAGGCCTTAAAAGCTAAGATCGTTGAGCTAGAAGTTGCAGTACAAAAAGGCCATCAGCGAATCCAACAATTAGAAGAAATCCGACCATTGACTAATTCAGAGCTTGGAATCGCGCTACGGCAGGCTCACGACACCATTCAGAATCAACTTGAAGCAATGGGGAGAGCAGTGAATCAGGCCCGCAGTGTTGCTCGTCAAGTCTACGAGATATCTGAAGAAGCGGCAGCCCTCAGAGTTTTTATTATCCCAAATTCAGAGGAAGAGCGACGCATCCTGGGATTGATAATAGAGATCGAGAGATTAGGCGATAGGGCAAGATTCTACGTTTAATTTCAATGAGGATGTATTCTCTTTGCCTAAAGTGCTTAGACTTTGTGTGTTGTTGAGTACTTTTTGTATGAACTAAGTTATTTCGGAATCAATATCGGGTTGCATTTGCATTTTCTTACGTTTTTCTAAATGTTTGAAATCTTGATAATCGCATTATAACAATTCATTCATTAAATTCATCGAATAATAAAATATAATTTCCAATTATTTGTAGTTATCCTGGCATTCACCTCACACCCATACGGTACCCGTAAAACTAAGAAAATGGAGGCGAATTAGCTCAATTGAACAAGAACACAAACAAGCTCAAGCAGAGATGAGAGAAAGATTAAGCAAAATGGAAGCAGAGATAGAAGCTCACAAGACGGTTTTGCTATAAAAGATCGAAGAAATGTTTAAGAAGCACGCTACAAGTGGAAAAGCTATTGTTGACCAACCAAAATCATCTGATCAGGATCTCTTGCATCCTCCAGGGTTTGAACCTATGGTATCGTATCCTGTCGGGTTTACATCTGGCCCCCAGCACCCACCAGGGTTTACACCCGACCCTTCGCATCCTCCCGGTTTCACCCCAGTGCACATTTCAGTTAGATCGCCAGCTGTACAAGAGGCTCACCCAGGAGTCTATATAGCGAATCAGCAAAATCATAATGAGCCCGCATTTCAAACCGATTACCCATCAGCTATTAGGGCAAGACCCATTGAATCAGGCGTAGAAGAGTTACCACCTGATTTTCAGGAAGTCTCAGAAAAATGAAGGGTTAACAGTGATATAACCCAGCAGTTGAAAAGCCTGGAGGAAAGAATGAGATCAGTAGAAGTTGAGCCATTCTATGGAATGGATGCTAGAGAGCTAAGTTTGGTGCCTAACCTGATTCTACCCCCGAAGTTCAAAGCACCAAACTTTGAAAAGTATGATGGAACTACTTGCCCATCAGCTCACCTCGTCATGTTCTGCAGAAGAATGGCAAGGTATACTGAAAATGAGAAACTACTGATACATTGTTTCCAGGACAGCCTAACGATCAGCAATTAAATGGTATAATCAATTGACTAGATCCCAGATCAAGTCATGGAGAGACTTGGCTCGAGCATTTTATGAACAGTATCGTCACATCACCGAACTAGTGCCTGACAGATGGACATTACAGAACATGAAAAAGCGATATAATGAAACTTTCAGGCAGTACGCCCAAAGGTGGCGTGATGTTGCCTCACAAGTACAACCACCGTTGCTGGAAAATGAGGCTACGATTATCGTTGTACATACTCTGAAGGCTCCATATTTGGGGCATATGTTGGGAAATGCTACGAAGAATTTTGCTGACTTGGTTCTTTCTGGAGAATTAATCGAAAATGCCATTAAAAGTGGCAAGATTGAAGGAGGTGATGGGTCGAAGAAGCCCTATTTCAAGAAAAAAGACAATGAAGTGAGCCAGACGAGTACTTATAAAAAGAACTACGCAGCCAGTGTCACGATTTCGCAGCCTAAGACGGAGAATACCAACACCCATGAAAATAGAGGGCAAAGAAGGGAGAATACAAGACCGACTTTCTCACCAGTGCCAGTACCATATTCAGAAATCTACGCCTCGCTCTTGAAGGCAGATTTAATACGCCTTTACAAATTGACTCCGATGCAGCCACCTTACCATCACTGGTATAATGCCAATGCTCACTGTGAATACCACGCAGGGATTGCTGGGCATGATATCGAGAACTGCCCACAATTTAAGAAGGTTGTACAAAACCTTATCAACGTTGGAGATTTGGAATTCAAAACACCAGCTGTAAATACTCACCCTATGCCCAATCATGGGGGGCAAGAATCAACATGGTCGAAGAAGGAGAGATCAGGACGACCAAGAGAAAGGTGTCAGAAGTCAAATCTCCCCTCTGTTGGTGTTCAGGCAGCTGTGTACATCGGGAATGATTAAGGGAAGTCCCGAATCAAGGTCATTGGAACAAGAAACATACTGTGAACTCACCAAACTAAGGACCATGATATCCAGAATTGTCCTGATTTCGAGAATTGCTTCAAAAAATTATGGATAGTGGAGAAGTGGAATTTTTCAGTAAGGAAGAGAACCACGAGAAATAGATATTTGTATGATGGAGGCTCGGCAGAATGACGGGGACGAGAAAACCGATAGTCATCACAGTTAATCTGGGACAAGAGAGATCATCGTCAACAAAACTCCAAGGGTGGTGATTACAACTCCGTCCCCCTTCCCATTCAAGGATACTCGACAGGTTCCTAGAACCTCCACCGATCATTACGAGCCTATGACTGAAGCTCAAGGTCATGAGTTTTTGAGGTTTCTTAAGCACAGTGAATACAATATAGTGGAGCAGCTTCACAAACAGCAGGCAAAAATCTCAATCTTGGATCTTTTGATCAATTCTGAAGTACATCGGAATGCCTTGCTAAAAGTGCTCAACCAAACGTTTGTTCCTGAGGATATCTCGACGAATAAATTGGATCGAATTGTGGGTCACATAGCTGCTGACAACTATATTACTTTCACTGATGATGAGATCCCGGAAGGAGGGATGGGATCCATTAAGGCTTTAATCATCACTGTGCACTGCCACAGTCATGTCCTGCCAGGGGTTCTTATAGATAATGGGTCGGCACTGAATGTAATGCCCTTAGCTACAATGCAAAAGATGCCCATTGATAGCTCACATATGAGAGCGTATCATAACATCGTCAGGGCATTCGATGGAACCCAGAAGAACGTGATGGGAAAGCTGGAAATACCCTTAATGATTGGGCCTGCTATTTACAATGTTGATTTTGTGATAATGGATATCCACCCGACATACAACTGTTTGTTAGGGAGACCTTGGATCCATGCGGTAGGGGCAGTTCCTTCATCCCTGTATCAAAAGCTGAAGTTCGTAATTGATGGAAGATTGGTCAGCATTGGGGCTGAACAAGAAATCATAGCTTCTGTAACGTCTGAGACCTCGTATATCGACATAAATGAGGACGCCTTGGAGTGCTCATTCAGGGCTTTGGAATTCATCAATGCAGCCTATGTGGCTGAAGGTAGTAGAATTCCACGACCCGCACTGTCGAATTATACTAAGATGACAGTGAGACAAACCCTAGGAAGAGGAGCAAGGATCGGTAAAGGACTGGGAAAAGAGCTGCAGGGGCAGGTACGACCCATAACTGTTGAGTTGAAGAAGGACCGTTTCGGGCTCGGATTTAAGCCCACCTTCCAGCAGCGGGGTCAAGAAATAAAGAAAAAGAATGAGGCGAGAAAGGCCAGACTGAGAGGAGAGGATATCTCGGGAGAATGCATGTCCTTTCCTCCCCTGAAGAGCTCTTTCAAATTTGGAGGAGTGTACAACGCAAAACAACAGCTGACTAGCGCCATCGAAACCGAGATGATGGGCGAAGCTCTAAAAGGACTGTCAATCAATATGATTTATTGGGGCAACCAACCCGGGAAGTTTCTAGCTGGAATCCGTCCGTGCTTACCTGGTGAAAAGCTCGACAATTGGACAGCCGAGGACCTCCCCAAAGTTTTTAGGGTCAATCCAAAGTAATGCCCCAGAATAATTTGTATTAGCATCTAAAAAATATATTTGGACTTTTTGTAAAACTTCACGCTTATCCCATCAATCAATAAAATATTTCCTCAAATAACAATCATTTTCATTCTTCACATTATTTCATAATGTTCTTCATATCATATTATTTATTCTTCAAATCTCCAAATTCTTCATTTTTCATTACATCATATTCTTTATTTCTTTACTCTCCAATATATCCGAGTCAAATTTCATGCAGATGTCACAATAATACTAGCATAATTGTTCCTGAGGCCAGTTTCAAGACAAATTTTGAGCGACCACCATGTTTGGAAGAAGTCAATGAATGTGAAGATGAAGAAGACTGTGAAGTCCCTAGTGAGCTATTAATATTGGTGGAAAGAGATGAGAAACAGATCCGACCCCATAAGGAAGAAGTAGAACTTGTAAACTTGGGGATCGTAGAGGTACAGAGAGAAATAAAGATTGGCGCTACTCTATCCGCAGAAATAAAGCTAGAGTTGATAAGTTTGCTCCAGGAGTATAAAGACGTCTTTGATTGGTCATATCAAGATATGCCAGGGCTAAGTACTGATATAGTAGTCCACACGTGCCCATCAAGCCAGAATGCAAACCCGTCCAACAAAAACTCAGAAGGATGAAACCAGAGATGCTATTAAGATTAAAGAAGAAGTATCAAAACAGATTGATGCAGGTTTTCTTCAAGAGGCAAAATATCCTGAGGTGGGCCAATATAGTACCGGTACCTAAGAAGGATGGGAAGGTCC